CCATATCATTCTTTACCTTTTCCTTTTTACTTCTTTATTTATTGATATATGTGTTTGATGCATTTGGGTATTATCTAATTGATTGAATTTACATGTGTATTATGATCATAATCATTTATATTATCCTACAAAAAAAATATGAAATGGACAGATTTGGATGTGAGAAAATGCGTGACAACCAAAAACACCACCTAAAAAAAGAAAACAAGTTGGAAGGGCCTATATACTTCTCAATCTTACTTTTGAGAGGAGGGGGATTTGAAAACCCGACTTGGGTAAATACTTTTAACCACGTGAGTCTAGGGTAAGATATCCAATTCTTCTAAGATTATAATTATGTTGTCTAATCTCAAGATATCCTAATTTTACACGAATTAGGGTTTCCTTTACTTGCCAGACAAGCAATATCTTCAACAGGATTAGAGCTAATGGAGTCGTCCCCGACTACCATAGCATGTGGTAGTCTGATTTGGAATACCCATGTAGCTGCTCCCATCTCACTTTGAGAGATTTTCGGTCAGTCTAACCATCCTGAGTGCCATGTGTCATGAGTGTAGAAAATCATGGTCCCACAAATGCCCCAACTATGCTTCCAAAATGTGCTCCACTTGAGTATGGATAACACAATGGACCATGAGCGAATCCTTCCAGAATGACCTTTATGGAATGTGAATCGAAATGACCTTCAAATTGCTTGTTGATTTGGAGCTAACCAGGTCCGGCTAGTCCTACTTGTTTGTCTCTAAAAAATTTGATATTCCTGAGTTCTGAACCATATTGTAGACCTCTAGTCAGACTTTCGAATGCTTAACTGAAAAGCTGAATGTAGGGCAGAATGCACCACTTACCTCTAGAATGACTTAGATGCCTTAAGAGATGCTTTTCTAAGTTTATTTCACTCAAGTCTTTAATCACGTTAGAGTAAATTACTTATAAAATTTCTTCCTCTGCTTCTTTTTCGTGTAATATAACTTTAACTCGCCAATCTTGAGTAAATTAGACTCGGAGTTAAGTAACATAGTCAAACACGAATAAGTTTGTTGGTCCGGGCTTTTATTCACCCTTGATAACACTGCAGCAGAAAAATATTAAACTTAATGTTTATAGAGATTTCTAACATTAACATTAATAGTATAGTAATTGAACCATGACACCAGTTCAGCTAAATTTATAATGAATTTTACCATGACCTTATCAATTTAATATGCCTTGGTCTTTAAATTTGTCTCTACAATAGGGTATAATACACATTAGATTCTTCTTTAGCCTCAGACACTATAATATATTTATTCATATACTTCTTAAGACACTTGTTGTCTAATAAGTGCACAACATAAAATTGGTAACCAGAAATAATTGCATAAAGCCTTTCTCTAATTTATAAAGAAGCTGATGCATTTTCGAGCTTTACACATTCTTACGAAAATTTTGTATTTGGTTAATTTAGTAATTTTCAACTGTAACATAGCATGATATCAGTTACTATATGTATGCTCTTTTTGGATCCACCCGAGGAGAATTTTTGTGTATTGGAAACGCGGCCAAGTACACTAAGTATTATAATATCTGGTTGGATACTTGAACAAAAAAATACCAACTTCTAATATTATGACATTTCATGTACCAGACCGTGTTCCCGGCACAATAAAAAATCTTCCATAAGTTTATAACAAGTATTCTTGGTGCAATTTTATGTTTTTGTCAAAAGAAGAAGCAATTTTTCTTGCTTGATATACAATATAATAATGTTGTACAATGTAAAATTTTATAATCAATGTAATGTGAAAATTACAGAGCATGGAGATAAGATAATAGAATACATTCCTGGAGTCAGCACCACATGCATTGCAGATCTACCCGCAAAGTTTTTTGTAGACGATCCAAAAGCCCTCCAGAAGCCCCTTGAAGCAGTTTCTCAGGTAGTAGAAGCACAGTATCTTTTGTTCAGTTCAGTCTATGAGCTTGATCCGCAAGCCTTTGAAGCCTTGAAAGCCAAGTTTGCTTTCCCTATCTACCCTATTGGCCCAAGCATACCTCACTTTGAACTTTCAAAAACACTTACCACTAATCAAAACGACATCGATTATCTGCATTGGCTAGATTCTCAACCCAAAAAGTCTGTTTTGTACATCTCCATGGGAAGTTTCCTCTCAGTTTCGAAATCCCAAATGGATGAAATTGTTGCTGGGGTGAAAAGTAGTGGTGTTAGGGCTTTTTGGGTGGCTCGTGGAGATACTTGTGAGTTGAGAGATTGTGTTGGTGATTTGGGTTTGGTGGTGCCTTGGTGTGACCAATTGAGGGTTTTGTGTCACGATTCGGTTGGCGGGTTTTGGTCACATTGTGGCTGGAATTCAACTTTGGAAGCTGTTTATGCTGGTCTTCCAATTCTTACTTTCCCTATTATTTGGGATCAAATTCCTAACGGTAAGCAGATTGTGGAAGATTGGAGGATTGGATACCGGGTGAAGAAGAAGGCAGGGGTCGAATTTGTTGTGAGTAGCGAGGAAATTGCAGATCTTGTGAAGAAGTTCATGGATGTGGAAAGCGAGGAGGGGAAGGATTTGAGGGAAAGAGTTAAACAACTTCAAGAGGTTTGTCGAGGTGCAATTGCTAATGGTGGCTCATCCGATACCAACCTTGATGCTTTTCTTAAGGATATTTCACAAGGACATAATTAATTGCCATTAAGCTGATGAATGTGGTAGCTGTTCCACATGCTTGCTTGTGTTTCAAAACAATTGTTATATACAAAATTATAACTGGAGGTATCAATAAGAGATATTCTATTATAAACATCTTGCTTGTGTTTCAAAACAATTGAATGTGGTAGCAGTTTGGTTATAAACTCGAGATATTCTATTCATGTTATTCATATTTAGAATAAGTGTTTAGCCACTGCTATTAGAAACGCTTTCTTATTTGACTGTACTCAAAACGGATGTATTAAAGGTTTTACTCTTGAATGTTTTATTTCCTATAAAAAAATGCATCGAAAAAACAATAAATTTGTACAATACATGTAACACAAACTAGGTTTGTACATGTCGTGGAAGTGAAATTAATCCACGAACAAATAAATTCTATTATTTGGTTAAAAATTGAAATCACATTTTATCCCTAGTGGATTTTTCAATTAAATATAGTGATAGAATACCCTAAATATAACCACGTGAGCAAACTATTCCTTTCAAATGAGTGCTTATTCTTCATTCATGACTTTAATCCTTTTTAAATCCTCATTAGAAAAGTATAGTTTGATGACATTTTTTAATTTGATAAGAAAATCTAGAATCTTAAAGGCAATCCTTCGGAGAATGAAGCTAGAGGATGAAAGAAAGGGTTAAACATCTTTACTTTAGAAACGTTGAGGAGTGCCTGTATAAATTGAACATTTAGTATACCCAAAACTTAACTACGTGAGCGAACTATTCCTTTCAAATTGTACCACATGTATTTAATTTTTGTTATACATGAAATAGTTTTCTACGCTGCTTGTGTTTCTAGTAGTACTAAATTTTCACTTCAGATAAATGGCCAATACCCCAATCGTGGGTGCTGCCCAAGTCCGTATGGCGAGTCATAGGCTACAACACCTTTTAGTTCTCATACAAAAAAGTGCTCAGTCGTCATTCATGGCTTGAACCTTTTTTAATCTTAAAAAAATGCATAGTAATTTGATGAAATATTTTAATATGATAAGAACAGAACTATTTGATGAAACATTTTAATATGATAAGAATAGAATTTTTTTTTCTTTTTAATACAACAATATATTTTATATTAAGAGAATGAAGAGTTGGGCTAAGTCACACAATAAGTGACTTAATTTGGTATCGAATTTGCCATCCACGAGATTCGAACCTAAGACCTCTGACCTACAAGTAAAGAGGAATATCACTAGACCGTAATACTGAGTAGCGATAAGAGTAGAACTTAAAGGCTACTGTTTTGAGAAGGAAGCAGGAAGACTATCAAAAGAGTTAAAAAAATTTACTTTGGAGACATTGAGGAGCGCCGAGCATAAATTGGACATATAGTAACGAATTCTAAAAGACGCTAGGTGCTAGTTGGGCAGCGAGAAGGGGCCTAGCGCCTAGGTGGCTAGGCGGGACCTAGGCAAATTTATGTTAATTTAATATAAAATTTAAATTTATTATATAAATAATATGCTTTTTTAAATAATATATATGTCATGTTAGGGGTTTTAATATAAATGGTCTTACAAGGAAAAGGAATAATAAAACAATACAGAAATATGTAAAAAACCAAAAATGATGATTGATTTGGATGAGAAAAGAAACAAAAGAACCTTGATCCAAAAAAAAGAAGAAATAAAAGAACGTGGAACCAAACAAGGATGGAGGGACCATAAAGGCCTAATTCGTCCATTTAAATTGAAAAAAAAAATGGTGGTTCCCATCAATCATCTTCTTCCTTGTGACTCTGTAACACAATTTTTCCAGACTCGAAATTTTTCCTGGTTCCAGCGTTTTCAGATACGGCCGACTAAACTCCACCCAGGCCCGTCCAGCCCCGCACAGACCTACATAGCTTTGCCTAGACCCGCCTAATCCCGCCCAATGTCCGTCTAATACTTTCTCCGATTTTACTTCCGATTACAACTTAATCGCAGCTGTTAGTCTCCGCCCAACACCAAAGCAGCCGCCTAGGCTTATTTTTATAACGCTCGAATGGAGTGACATGATCATTCTAATTAAAAACCATCAAAACCCTCTTCAAATAACTAGTGAAAAATGAGTGCACAAACTCAAAAAAGAAAAAAAAGATCTAGAATTTGGTTGAAGTTTTATTAAAAGAAAATGTTATTGATACACCTATGTTTACCTCTCATGTATCTTTGTTAATCTTTTGTTATTGATTTTTTTTTCAATTCATTCAATCTTATGGTCATTAAGAGAGTAAATAGTAAAATATAGTGTGTGAATAACATTATCCTTATTAAAATATAAATTCTACCTAATTTCCCCAAAAAAAATTCGGTTAAAAGCATTTATAAAAGGTGGTGTCGTGGTGAGCACCACCTCAGGACAAATGGACGCCACCTCCAAAGTCTGCCATGTGGTGGCGATGCCGTATCCCGGCAGAGGCCACGTCAACCCCATGATCAACCTCTGCAAATTACTAGCCGCAAAGAAAACCGACATTCTAATCACCGTCGTCGTCACCGAAGAGTGGCTTGGATTCATAGGACCCGACCCGAAACCCGATAACATCCGCTTCAGCACCATCCCCAACGTCCTTCCGTCCGAGCTAGTCCGCGGGGCTAACTATCCCGCTTTCTACGACGCCGTAATGACAAAGATGGGAGCTCCGTTTGAACGATTACTCGATCAAATTCAGCCTCCAGTGGCCACCATTATAGCCGACATCGAGCTTCTTTGGGCGGTTCCCGCCGGCGGCCGGAGAGATATTCCGGTGGCTTCTCTTTCGACTCCATCGGCATCGTTTTTTCATCTCCTCTTCCGGAATAGGGAGCTGAATTTGTTAGGTATGTTTGTTTTCTGTTTAGGTTGGATATGGCTGCTTAAAATTACACTTTTAAGAGTGGACACAAGATGAATGATAAAATGCCTCACAGACGAGAAACAACTTTGATGCTCAACTTTTTAAGCTAATTTCGCACTTTTATATGAAAAATTTTAATTTCATGATAATATGATCGCGTTTTAAGTTCATATATTGTTCATATACGAGAAATTTAAACTCCAAGAACTTTCAAGCGACGAGAATGACACTACTTATATAAGAAATTTTAAACTTGAAATGCATGATAATATGACTTATTTTTAAGTTAATTGGAGCAATCGTCTTTGATCTTTGGTCTAATTAGAGCTTAGATTTCTGAACAAAAAATGCGTGAGTATTTGTCTATGAATTTGTAATTGGAGCTTTGCTCTCTGAACTAAAAATTCGTGAGTAATCGTACTTGAATTTGTTATGATTTCGAGCAATTATACTTTTGGCTAACTCTGTTAGAACTCTCATCTTTTTCTTTTTCTTTTCTCTTTAAACCCTTTGTTTTGGATGAAAGTTCTAATGGAGTTAATCAAAAAGAAGCATTGCTATGCATTATAACAAGTTTAGAGACATTAACTCACGAATTTTTAGTTCAAGATCAATACTCACTTTATTGCATGATAAATTAGAATATATAACAATATAAGTGCATGTTAAGTGAAAGAGTAATGCTAGGTGGATTAACATTTTAGACCAAATTTGTAAATTATGTATCACTAAGTGAAAATGAGCACGTAAATGAACACGTAAGTGATAATCCAATCATCAACAATCACGTCATATAATTTATAAAATTTAATTTAAATAGTTGGCCTACCTATCATTTTCCTGAGTGAAATCCTGTCTCATTGTCGTATAGGTTAACATATAGGTTATATTATATTATTTATGAGTGCTTAATGGAGTCTTAAAATATTGCCAAGTTTCTCTTCTTAAAGCCATAAGCCATAAGCCATAAGCTCATTCTCTTTATCAAAGTATCATAGTATCAAAGTAGAACATCTAATGGATCACTTCAACGTTGACTCAACTACCGTCGGCCATGTGGCGGCGATGCCATTCCCCGGCCGAGGCCACATCAACCCCATGATGAACCTCTGCAAGTTACTAGCTTCCAAAAACCCTCAACTTCTTGTCACCTTCATCATCACCGAAGAGTGGCTGAGCTTCGTCGGCTCCGACCCAAAACCCGACAACATCCGATTCTCCACCATCCCAAACATCATCCCCGCCGAGCGGCTAAAAGCCACCGACTTCCCTGGCTTCTACGAAGCTGTCATGACCAAGATGGAAGCTCCCTTCGAGCTCCTCCTCAGCCAGCTCGACCCGCCGGCCACAGCCGTCGTTGCTGATATAGAGGTCCGGTGGGGAGTCGGGGTTGGGATTCGGAGGAATATTCCGGTGGCCTTGCTCTGGACTATGCCAGCCACCTTCTTGTCAATGCTGCACCGTTTCAATATTTTCTCACAAAACAAGTACATCCCACTTGAATGTTTTGGTAAGTAAATATTTTGCATATATATGTATATAACACAAATTGAAATTAATATGGAAATTGGATTTTCTGTTTATATGTGATAGATTCTGGAGACCAAATTCCAGGGATTTCTTCATCTGATTTAGCAGACCTTGGAGAAGTGTTTCGAAGAACCGACCCGAAAGTCATGAAGCTTGCTCTGGAATGCATTTCGTGGGTTCCAAAAGCTCAGTGTCTTCTGTTCACTTCATTTCACGAGCTCGAACCCGAAACCTGCCACTCTTTACGGGCGGAATTCCCATTCCCTGTGTACCCAGTTGGTCCTGCCATACCTTACTTGGAGCTTGGAAAGAATTCCTCTGTGTCAGTTGGTGACAATGGCATTGACTATATGAAATGGCTTGATTCCCAACCAAAAGCCTCTGTCTTGTACATCTCATTGGGGAGTTTTCTTTCTGTTTCAAACATGCAGATGGATGAAATCGCAGCCGGGCTGAAGCGTAGCGGGGTTCGGTTCTTGTGGGTTGCGCGGGGGGAGGCGGCTCGATTGAGTGAGAGCTGCAGTGGTAGTGATGGTATGGGGTTGGTGGTGCCATGGTGTGAGCAACTGAAAGTGTTGTGCCATTCTTCTGTGGGTGGTTTTTGGTCACATTGTGGATGGAATTCGACTTTAGAAGCTGTTTTTGCCGGTGTCCCAATGCTTACTTTTCCTCTTTTTCTCGACCAAATTCCGAACAGCAGGCAAATAGTTGACGGGTGGAAGATTGGCAGGAGGGTTAAATCAGAGGTACATGATGAAAGGTTGATGACAAGGGAAGAGGTTGCTGAGCTTGTGAAGAGATTTATGGACCCTGAAAGCAGTGATGGGATTAAAATGAGGAGAAAAGCGAAAGAGCTCGGAGATTTGTGTCACCGAGCAATTGCGAAAGGCGGTTCATCTGATACAAATCTTGATGATTTTATCAGGGATCTTGGCAAAGCTACCTGCAATCTTCAAATGGAGACACAAGTTCCTCATCCATGATCCATTTAACACGGCAGTGCGTGGTATATATCTACTTGGGCTTGGACGTTCAGTATGCAAATTAGCCTTGTATCTTGTATGTAAAATAGTGTAGAATCTAAATAAGTTTCCTTCCAATGTGTGCTCTTAATTCCTTTTCTATCAAATAAAACTCAATTTTTTGTTGATGTTTCTTATGGAAGTGTTTAAAACTTGTAGTCACTTGTTCAGTGGCAGATTTATAATTCTAACTTCGAGAGTTCAGTGTAAAGATCCTCCTTTTTTTAACAAAGATAGCACACAACGTGCAGATTTTTGTTAGTTTTTTTTTTTTTCTTTTTCACATGGTGGAGCACTTGGTGTGCCTATCGTTCTTCGTTGAGGCATGCTACGTGGATGTTGAGATCTGCCAAGTGTTGTCAACACTCTATGCGGAGTGATGCATCTTGTCGAGAGATGTCAATGAGTCTTGCAGAGTGGTATCGAGATATGCCAAACATGCATTTCATTAAATGGTTTACACAAAAAAATTTCATACTAAGACATCTAAAGAGTCCATAGAGGACCTTCACTAGCATTTTTCCGACCTTAAGAGCGTCCAGAACCATTGGTTTCTACGTGGATCTGCCCATGCACTTGTTCACTTTAAGTGTTCATACTTGACTCAGTATTTACAGTGTGAACATGAATCACATGTTTAATAGACGATATATTCAATTGAAATTTTCTAAGATTTTAAGAGAGTTTGAAAAGTTTCGCAGTATAACATCTACCCTATCTAACAAAGAAAAAAAAATGAACTTGACATGCTATAGATAATTGAACAAAGAAGTTTTTTAACGTTCTAAGTAATATTAGGAAGGATAGTATACTATTTCTCATTCTTATTGAAGAGCTCATTCTTATTAAAGAGGAAAGTTCTCCTTCCTCATTAATGCAACATATTTTGTAATATGAACATCATAATTGAAAGTATTTATTCTCTTTATCATAATTTAATAAAATAATTAATATAAAATTATTTAATTATTCATACAAAACAAAGAAATTAACGATTTATCGAGAAAATACTTATAATCGCCTTTGTTCCATCACAAACGATTCGCTTAAGATCATCTTGGCATTGAAGGATTCTTCCATTAATACGTCTCCAATTGGCCGTATTATTGAAGATTCCAAAGACCTGGCTCGGAGGATCGCTGCGACTTCTTATACACATGTCAATCGTCAAGCCAATGGTGTTGCCATCGTCTAGCCTGCTATGCCCTTGGAGCTGTTAGTCCTTGTCTTTGGTTAGATGTACCTCCCGACTTTGTAGCCGATGTGATCTTGGAGGATGTTCATTAATTGTAATGGAGGTGACCTTTGTGTTTGCCTTTTGCACTAGAGAAATATTAAAGGAACTCTCTAAAAAATGAAACTCTTCATGTACTCTCTATCATCTTACAGTTTGACGTTAATTCTTATGCTAACATTATAAAATATTATACAAAAAGTATTAAGTGTCATGAAAAGTTTCACTTTTGAGAAAATCCGTAGCATTTTTCTTTGTACTATCTTTGCTATCAATGCAAGCTTTCATTAAAAAGAGAGTATTTTGATCAAATCAAGCAAGCCAAGCCAACAACGAAAACTTAATTTCAGATATAATTGCCTTCTTTCTCCTCTGTATGTATCTACCTCTATAACCACTTATAAGTTATAACTACAGAGTTACGTCGTCTTCTTCTTAAACCCAGACATGATCTCCAACAGAGACCAGAGATCCCCTGTCTGCCACGTGGTGGCCATGCCGTATCCCGGTCGGGGCCACATCAACCCGATGATGACCCTCTGCAAGCTACTGACTTCACAAAAGACTGACATCCTCATCACCTTCGTCGTCACGAAGGAGTGGTTCGGTTTCATCGGATCCGAAGTCACCCAGGACAACATCCGACTCGCCACGATTCCCAACGTTGTCCCGTCGGAGCTGGTCCGCGCTGCCGACATGTACAGCTTCATCGAAGCGATCATGACCAAGATGGAGGCCCCATTCGAGCGGCTCATGGATCGCCTCGAGCCTCCGCCGAGCCTGATCGTGGCCGACACTTTCCTGCCTTGGGCAGTCCGTGTCGGGAACCGGAGGAGTATTCCGGCGGCGTCGTTTTGGCCGATGCCGGCATCCTTTTTCTCCGTCTTCCAACATTTTCATCTTTTAGCAGAAAACGGGCACTTCCCGGTTGACTTGTTAGGTTGGTGCCCTTGTCGCTATATTTTTTATGAACGTGTCTTTGTCACTTAGACTTTTTGGACGACATATTTGATTGTTCTGAAGAATGTTTCATACTTTTGTTTCTTCCTTCCGATGTTTGTTTTTTTTGTTGGGAGTTTTAACGAAATTTGTGGTACTATTCATTTTAACGAAAAATCACATTTTCATGCTAAAAAGTCAATTCTGGTACTATTCATTTTACCATTTATTTTGTCCTTATCGTTAAACTCAAAATTTTCAAACTCTTTTCATTAGTTTTCTTTTTTTTGTTTCTTCCTTTCGTTTTCGGATGCTGATTTTAGTTAGCTTACAGCCTTACTAGTATATATGTTATTTGTACACTTAATTTTATTCTTCATACACCTTTCTTAATTTTCGATTGTCAGATGAAATGAATTAAAGAAGATCAATGATTAAATTAACAATGAGTGTGGAGGTAAAAAGGGATGTGCGAATAGTACTATTATTTGCGTAATATATATAAATTGTAGGTATATACAGCTAGAAGGTCGAAAGCCTGAATATATGGCGATATATGAAAGGAGAAATACAACTAGACTAAGTTGTAAGTTAACAAACATTTTTTAGTCCCGTGCACACTTATGGGTACATATTAATTACATGGGATGGGAGTGTGAAAACGCTACATTTTAATTGCAAGTGGTTCATTCCATTAAGTCATGTGGCCGATACTCCTCTCAATTTAGGCTTGCATGAATAAAATAAAAGATTTCTAGATAGTCTCCCCTAATTTTGGGGTCGTATCTCAATTGATGTTAACAACGTTCTTATGATTTAAACTTGTTAATTTCATTCCACATCAAACCTATCAATCTAATTTTGTCCATTGCTAAGTTTTATCAGTGTGTGCCTCTAGTAAAAAGGTGAAACATTCATTTCAAGCATGTTTTAAGATATAAATTAACAAGTTTATACGGCTTAAAATGATCTTTTCATCTTTGCACATGATGTCCACATGGGTTAAATTGCTCAAAATTAGGATAGAAAGTTCGATTTGGTTTAGATCGAGCATGCTTAACCACAAATTAAGTTCAGTTTGTACTAAGAATCTTTTTCACCACATGGGTCACAATTTTGTGCCCTCCATTTCGTTATTTAAATTTTATGCTATCCTGTGTGTTTATAGAGAGGGGCAATGATCGTGTGGATTACATCCCAGGAGTTTCTTCAACACGACTGGCAGACCTGCCTCATTTCATTAGTGGAATCTCCCCAAACATTCTCCACCACATCCATGAAGATTTCTCATGGGTGCCTAAAGGACAATATCTCTTATTCCCCTCCATCTATGAGCTTGAACCCCAAGTCATCGACGTTTTAAGATCAATATTCTCACTACCCATTTACACAATTGGTCCATTAATACCCAACATCAAATCTAATTACCACCCGAGTGCTGGCATCGACTATCCACAATGGCTAGATTCTCAACCTTGCAGCTCTGTTCTGTACATCTCCATGGGAAGTTTTCTTTCATTTTCAGGTGCCCAAATGGATGAGATTGCAGGCGGTTTGCGCTTGAGTAGGGTTCGGTTCATATGGGTGGCCCATGGGGAAACGGACAGGTTAAAAGATGCTTGTGGCGACATGGGTTTGGTAGTGCCCTGGTGTGAACAATTGAGGGTTTTGTGCCATTCTAGTGTTGGTGGGTTTTTGACACATTGTGGTTGGAACTCAGTTAGGGAAGGTGTTTTTGCTGGTGTCCCGTTTCTGACGTTTCCGTTACGTATGGATCAAGGCATGGTTAGTAAGATGATTGTGGAGGATTGGAAAGTTGGGTGGAGGTTGAGGAAGGCTGAGGACAAAATGGACCATTTGGTAACAAGCGAGGAGATTGCTGGGCTGGCGCAGAAGTTCATGGACTTGGAGGACGATGAAGGGAGAGAAATGAGAAGAAGGGCCAGAGAACTTAAACAGATATGTCATGGTGCTATTGAAGAAGGCGGATCATCTCAAACGAACATCAATGCCTTCGTTGGAGACATTTTTCAAGGCCATGCATAAGCATTGAGCACACTGAATCTTGTTGTTGCTGGCTCTCAAAAGACGGTGCAAAGCTTGTAGTGATTTGTCTTGTGCGTCAATGAAAATACAAAGTGTCGGTGCAAGGGGTTGTACTTCAAGTGCATTCTCAGCTATGTGGAATGTTTGCATCTAGTTTTGCCAACCGACTCCACTCAGTGAGATAAGACTTTGTTGTTGTTGTTGTTGTTTGTATCTGGTTTTGCACTTTTGGTTTTATTTAAGGGGCTGCTATCGGCACTCTAAAATACTTAATTGTGTTTCATATGAGGGTGTTTCCAGTTTGGTTGGGACCCTAGTTTGTACCAAACCTGGGATCAATTTGGTTCCCGATTATATTAATTGATTGGGATCAAATTCATTTGAGGAGAAATAAAAATTGGAATTCGGGAACTGGCACAACCAAACTGTATAAAAAGCGTTAGGCATGGCGGCCGCAAGCTTTAAAATCCCTGGAGGACTTATTTTTAAGTTCTAGCTTCCATATATGGATACAGTCAAGAAGTAAGAAAAGATTGCACACTGCAATTTGGTTTTATCACATCACATGTGAGAGTGCCATCTTCTCAGTGTCGCTACCACAACTTCTGATGACCGTAGTGTTGAATTGAGCCAACGTGCAGCAAGAGAACATTTTTCTTAAGATATTAGTGAGTGTCAACTAATAGATTTACGTATATGACGGTAACACATCCTCGTGTTGTATGTCTAACATTTCGTTTTAAGATTTCCTGTTTATTGTGTAACTTTGCTACTTAAAACAACAATTTGGCATTGTTAACGGATCAGGGAAATATACGTGTGAGCTGTTGAATATTTCAAGAATATATATGATTTGGTGCTGCATTGTGCAGCGTGTGTGTATGATAAAGGATGATGCAGTGCGCAGCAAATGTAATTAGTTGAATGGTTACAACTTTTAGTTAAAAGACATGATGTTTATTCAAATTGTATGAGTAGAATTAAAAAAAATATAAATAATCAAAATTTATTTTCTGAAAATATTAAATAGAAGACATGTCTTTTGGGTAAACATTATTAAGAAGAGTTGTGTATCTTCAACTAAAATGAAAGGGCTCGATGAACGGGTACTTTGATGTCTATAAATACATGTTTGTAGCATAATGTTTCATACACAATTTCAGAAATTTATTTCTACATTCCTTACTCTCTTCTCTCTCCATCACATTCATATAATTTCTTTCTAGTTATTTCTAAGGAAATATAATTCGGTTTTGCTAATCGAATATTTCATACTTTGTTGTATCCTGGAAGTGATTTGCCAATAACCCTTTAGCAAACTCATTCGAGTGGGAACAAATAACACTTTAAGAAAACGATTCAAGTCGTATCTCAAAGTCAATCTTCGGATTATTCTCCATAATTCTACATTTTTCTTAACATGAGCTACATTACAGGAGTTTCTCCGACACGACTAGCGCACCTCCCTAGGTTCATCTATGAAAGCAACCGAAATATTCTAGACGTTTTGCTTAACTCCTTTTCCTGGGGACCTAAAGCACAATGCCTGCTATTCTCTGCCATCTTCAATGAATTTGAAACCCTAACCATCGACATTTTACGATCAGAATTATCACTAACCATTTACACTATGGGCCCATCAATACCCTACTCTGAGCAAAATGACCTCCCTACCCAAGTAACTAGTGATGCTAACTATTTCAATGGCTAAACTCTAAACCTTGTAGCTCAGTTTTTTATGCGGGAGGCAGGCCTTGAAGAAAACAATTTGAATACCACTACTACACTTTGGGAATAATAACGGCTGTCTATTTTAATTACTTAGGAATTAGTTAAGTTCATCTAGATTATTGTGAGTCTCTTATGATGTAATGCAAGCATTTGGGAGACTTGATTAATTACAAATATATTGCTTTGTGCAACCGAAGAGAGTATTTTCCTCCTTCTCAAATCAAGCGTTTGGCTTGATCGTGTAAGCGAATTCACGATTAGCGAGGTTGAGCGAGCTCCTATGCCTTTGGTTGAGCGATTCCTAGGTTCTATCCCAACCCTTGCTTAATTTCCTGCATCCATTTTGTACCTCGCCATGGGAAGTTTCCTTTCAGTTTCTAGCGTCCAAATGGACGAGATTGCAGCCGGTTTGCGCAAGAGTGGCGTTCAGTTCATTTGGACGGTTCGTGGGGAAACCGATAGGAAAAAGGAGATCTGTGGTGACATGGGGTTGGTAGTGCCTTGGTGTGACCAATTCAGGGTTTTGTGCCAGGGGGTGTTTCGAGTCATTGTGGATGGAACTCGGTTACGGAAGGTGTTTTTGCTGGTGCTTCCTTTCTAACCTTAGCTATACTATTTGATCAAGGAATGAATAGTACCCACATTGTAGAGGATTGGAGGGTTGGATGGAGGGTGAGGAAGGTTGAGGATAAAATTGACCATTTGGTGACAAGAGAGGAGATTGCAGGGTTAGTGAAGAAGTTTATGGATTTGGAGGATGATGAAGAGAAGGAAATGAGGAGAGCCAGAGAACTTAAGCAGTTATGTCATGATGCCATTGCAGAAGGTGTGTCATCTCATACCAACATCAAGGCCTTCATTAGACATTTCGCAGAGGGCGTGCGTGAGGATTGAGCATTTCTTGTTTTGTCGTTTGCCTTTGTTTCGTTCTCTTTTTCTGTCAAATAAAACTCAACTTTTTGATGACGTTTGTGATGAATGTGTTTAAAACTTCTTGGCACATGTTAGTTGACAGATTCAAAATTCTAACTTCGAGGGGTCTTGGTTTAAAGATCTTCCTTTTTCTAACAAAGATAGCACGCAACGTGCAGATCTTGTTTTAGTGTTTTTTTTTTTTTTTTTTCAAACGGAAATTACGTCGAGCACTTGATGTGAATGTTGTCTTCTATCGAGCCATGGTATGTAGATGTATCTATCAAGTGCTGTAGAGACCCTTTGCCAATTGATGCAACTTGTTGAGAGATGTCGACGCGTCCTGCAAAATAGTATCCATATATGCCAAACATTCATTTCATTACACACTGGATGGACAAAAAACATCTGAATAGTCCACGGAGGACCTTCACTAGCTTTTTTTCCTACCACAGGTTTGTCTTAGGACCACTCGTGCCTACGTGGATCCGCACATTGCACTTGTGCACTTTAAGACTAAGTGTTGATACCTGACTCATTATTTTTAATAGTCATACTTTTTTAACATGAATCACACATTCGAAAGACTTGGAATATTCGATTGAGATTTTTGAAAATTTTTTGTAGCGTCAAATAACAATTTTCATTTCTTAATATAATTAACAATTTATCGTGAAAATGCTACTGGCTGCTATAATCGTCAAGAGAATCCTTTTACCAAATCAAGCAAGCCAAGCCAAATACGGAACCTTGAAAATTCAATGGAGTCCCCAACCATACCCATCAAGCAACCCCAACTTAATTTCAGTTCTAATTGCCTTGTTTCTCCTCTGTACCTACCTCTATATAACCACTCTTATAAGTTAAAACTACAAAGTTACATCTTCTTCCTCATAAACGCGGACATGAACCACACCAGAGACCAGAGGGCCCCTATCTGCCACGTGGTGGCCATGCCGTATCCCGGTCGGGGCCACATCAACCCGATGATGAACCTCTGCAAGCTACTGACTTCACAAAAGCCTGACATCCTCATCACCTTCGTCGTCACGGAGGAGTGGCTCGGCTTCATCGGTTCCGAAGCCACCCCGGACAACATTCGACTCGCCACGATTCCCAACGTCATCCCGTCGGAGCTGGTCCGCGCCGCCGACATGGATGGCTTCATCGACGCCATCATGACCAAGATGGAGGCCCCGTTCGAGCGGCTCATGGATCGGCTCGAGCCGCGTCCGAGCCTGATCGTGGCCGACACTTTCCTGCCTTGGGCGGTCCGTGTCGGGAACCGGAGGAGTATCCCGGCGGCGTCGTTTTGGCCGATGCCGGCGTCCCTTTTCTCCGTTTTCCAACATTTTGATCTTTTCGCGGAAAATGGGCACTACCCGGTTGACTCGTTAGGTAAGTGTCTTCGTCACTTTGAGTCGGGTAACATATTTGATTGTTAATATTTTCCTTTTTTTGTTTTGCTTTTTAATCAGAATGGTTCCTGATTTACATAATACATCACTTTGATCTGTGAGATTGAAAATCCATAGAAATGGTTCCTAAGATTGTCCATCATCCATTATTTTGGTCATTCATTTAAAAATTCCGTTACGTGTCCTGGAGCTCTTGGTCGGAAGTTTGGGTAATTTTCAAAAATTCGTAACTCAATCGTCTTTTAACTAAATTCGACCCATAATATATCAAAATGAAGATAGGAAAGTGCAGAATAAAATTATACTTATTTGGAAGCCCAATGGTTGCCGGAGATGGCTGGAAAATAGCCTAAAAGGTGACTGGTCCGCAGGAAAACTGGAATACTCGCCGAAAGCTGGGTAAATTTTAAACATTCATAATTTCTTCAATACTCAATGAAATCGAGTGATTCAAAAATGAAAATCATACTTCTTGACGGGTGAAGAGAATGGTACCTTTCTAGTCAACTAACTCGTCGTGGTTTGGTCGGAAAACGACTCAAAAGTGGCTAATTGAAGACCAAGACAGTCACTTTCGAGCCGTTTTTTGGCCAAAAAGGGCCAGTTAGCCAGTTTCCGGCTAGTTTCCAATTTTTTCGCAGACCAGTCACCTTTCATGCTATTTTCCGACCATCTCTGGCAACCATTGGGCTTCCAAATAGGTATAATCTTGTTCTACACTTTCCTATCTTCATTTTGATATATTATGGGTCGAATTTGGTTAAGAAATGATTGAGTTACGAAGCTTTGAAAATTGCCCAAACTTCCGACTAAAAGTTCTGGAACACTTAACGGAGTTTTTAACGGATTGACCAAAATAATGGATAGTGGACAATCTCAATGAGTATTTCTATTTATTTTCAATTTCAGGGACCAAAGTGATGTGTTATGCAAATCTCATGGACCATTTTGGCTAAAAAGTCTTTTTGTTTCTCTGTTTCCTTTTTAGTGCTGATTTTAGTTATTTTAGTTAGCTATCCAGCCTATACTAGTGTGTATACGTAATATATAAATAGATTTTAGTGTAATGGAAGATAAACAATTAGTTAGAAAACAAATTGGTTAATGATTCAAAAACAGAGTACTCGTGGCACACACGCTATATTTGCAAGGATTCCAAGTATCTTGTTGCATAGTGGTATTTGCTAGCAACAAGATAATGGAGGCAGTCAATCAATATAGATTGATCCGAAATTGTAGTTATATAAGTATAGTTAGAAGGTCGAAAGCCTAG